TCCTATTTTAAGTCAGACTCTGTTTTAAATGCTGGAAGTAAAGCAGTGGGCAAAACAGGCAAAATCATAAAACCAACTAGTTTTAGAGATAAAAAGTTCTATATAGAAAACTAAAGCCAATGAAGAAGATGCAATGATAGACTGGTTAAAGGCCTCCTCCAGTTCTCTTATATTTTTCTGTAACTTGACCAGCAAATTTTTATATTAGTAACAGTTACTTGATTCAGTACATTAGCAAACACTAGAACACAGAATGGGAGAAATGATACATGGACATATCTTGAAGAGATCTGTAAGATCTAATGGAAAGATAATGGATTTTTAAGTCAAACACTCCTGCGTGGAAAGTCCATGTTTACCCCCTGTTAACAATTTGACAGTAGGCAACTAAGTTCAACTCAGTAACTTCATTTTTTCATGACCTTAATAAAGTATGCATCATAGGGTTCCTGTGAAGCAAAAAGGCAGTGGATAGAGTGTCTGACCCAGAAGTCATTAAGTGGTATTTTACAGACTTTTGTCTGCTACCCCGGTAGCTGCTCTTGAGGTGGTGACCCTGTAGATTATTATTATTAGTGTGCTCTAGAAGGACACTGGGCTCTCTGGCGGATACCCCTTGTCAGCCATTTGGACTCATTCCCCCCCTTTTTTTTAACTATCAGTAATTTAAAATAAACACATTGGTACATAGACTCTTCTTGTTTTTTGAATTATTTCCTATGGACATATTCTCAGAAATTAAATTACATACCCTTAAGAACGTGGGTAAAATTACTATGGTAGCACATATGATGAAATAGATTTTCCAAGATTTGCACTATTTTCAACTTCCAGCAGCCATGTATGTGAGGCTCCACGCCCCTTCCTTTCTCCTGTGATATAATATAATAAAAGTCTATGGTCATTTGATGAGATCCATCATTGAAAACCTTCATCTGTTTGCTCTCTGAAATGGGGAGAAGTTCCTCAGTATCCCTTAAATGAGGCTTCACTGAGAAGGTAGAATTTTTGAATTGAGTCATGAGGAAGAGTGGGCAGAGAAGAAAGGCAGAATATTCTCAAGTTGTTTCATTATTAGGGTTTAGGCTTGGAACAGGAGACCAGCTAAGGGAGGTATCATAGTAGTCAAGGTGAAAAGAACAAGGGCACAGAGCCAGCTGGGCAAGAGCTATGGAGAGGAGGGCACAGCTACGAGGTGGGATAAACACCTGTCGGGGTCAGTTAGATGTAGCAAGAGTGAGGAGCGTCTCCCTTCAGGCTTAGCTTAGGACATTTTATTGGAGAGTTACAAATCATGTAAATCGTTTTTGTTTCTTTTAACATTTTTTTAATTCAGTTAAATTAAAAACCTGAGTTACAGCAAGCAATTCAGTACTTTTCCTTTGGGAAAACTGTTTCTTCATTCTTTGCTACCTTGATGGCGTTTGACACAACTCTGACCAAGTCGAAAGCCTCATTGTGCTGGCTGCTGTGAGTGACAGAGAAGGAAGGAAAGCCCAGATCTCCCAATATGAATGTGAAAATATCTTTCCTGAGGTCACTTCACTTTTCCCATTGAAAACTAACTAAAAGTTCATTAAAATGCCTGTGATTCCTTAAGTATGAAAAATTATGAATAGCACAATGATCTCACATTGATAGAGCACCTACAATGTGTAGTCTTGTACTTGCTATACATTAACTCATGTAATTCTATTAAAAGTTCTATATGACAGGGCATGAATTTTTATAATCCCATGGAACAGGTGAGAAAAAGGAGGGACAGAGACTCTAAGTAACTTTCCTATAGTCACATTTACATGCTGAAGCTAGGATAGCCCGAATAACCAATTCTTGATAGAGGAGATATGGTATTTTTATTTACCTAACTTAAACCACAATACTAACAGTGGAAATTTTTTTTTCCCATGAAGGTAGAATTTACTTGCACTTATTCACAACTTCTTTTGAACAAAGGTTATTAAGCTTCTATCATTTATTTCATAATTATTTCATTAGTTTAATTAATAGAATATTAGGTGGGAGAAGACTAGAAGTCACCTCTCTAATTGCATGTTTGTTTGTTTGTTTGTTTCTCTGACACCATTCCCAGAGCTGAAGCTATTAGTGACCCCACATTCCTGAGCCACTTATTAACATAACAAAGACATACCTATCACTCAGGTGATTTTAAGGATTTTTAAAGTTCTGTGACAGAAACCAGGGACAAAAGATTGAGATTTAAAAAAAAAATCATGCTAAAACTATGTTTTATTCTATTGATTTATCTTGGCATCTTTCGTAATAGTCAATTGACAGTGAATATATTTGTTTATTTCTATAATCTTAATTCTGCACTGTTGAAGCTGATGTGTATCCTTGTGCTAGTATAACACTCTTTCAATTATTGTAGTAGTGTCAGTTTTACCATGGGGGAAAAAAGCATCTTCCAAACTTGCTCTTCTTTTCCAGGATTGTTGTACCTAAATCACTTACATTTCCATATTTTACAATCAGCTTGTCAGTTTCTACAGAAAATCCAACTAGGTCTTTGATAAAGAAATTGTATTGCATCTAGATGAACTAGGAAAAATTATCATTGTTAAGAATAAATGTTTGGATCCATGAATATGGGATGTCTTTTCATTTTAGATATTTAAAAATTTTTTCAATGATGTTTTTATTTTGTAATTTACAGATCTTCCACCCCATTATTAAATTTATACTTAAGTGTTTTATTCTTTTGCATGCTATTATTAGTGGAATTATATTCTTGATTTCATTTTTAGAATTATTGTTAGTCTATAGAAGTATGATTGTTGTTTGTATAGAGATCAGCTACCCTAGACATTACTGAACTTGGTCATTATTTCATATAGTATTTTAATGAATTTGTTAAGATTTTGGAAACAGAAATGCTGCTTTGAACAATAAAAGTAATTTTACTTCTTTCCAGTTAGGGTGTCTCTTATTTCTTTATTATTTTTATCAAACTTGACTTTAACCTCCAGGACAGTGCTGTAGGCAGGCATTTTGTCTTATTCCCAATCTTAGGGAAAAAGCAGTCAGTCTTGACAATGAAGTATTACATCTATTTTTCATAGATGCTTTTGAATAGTTTGAGGGAGTAACCTTTGCTGGCTACTTGGTTAGGTGTGATTGTGTCATATGACTGTGTCCTTGCTTTTACTAATAAAGTTTTGCATTATTTTGTGTCTAAATATGAAGGAAGGGGCCGGGGATTTAGCTCAGTGGCGCCGCTGCCTGCTTCACAAGAGTAAGGTCCCGAGTTTGATCCCTTGTACCAAAACAAACAAAGAAACAAACACAAAGGAAGAACCCTAGAATAAACCTCACTTGACTGTGATGTATACTTTTTTTATAGTTTATGTAACTTAAAAGAATTTAGGTATTCCACAAATCACACAAAATTAAGTCTGTTCTAAATGAAAATAGTTATAATAATCAGTAATTGAAAGTTGCAAACTTCATCTGTTTCTTGATCTCCTCTAGGTTGGTAGACCAGATTCCTAGTAGTAGCATTCTAATAATCTGAAAGTATCATTTAAAAATATTGAATATGTAATCTATTTGATAGTATAGGCTCATTTTAGGGCAAAATGATTGTATGATTTTCATTACTCAGTTTTTATAATCCTGTTACATGATCTCAAATATCATTAATAAATGCTTTAACATCTTGAAATTATATAATTTAGTCATTCAAAGTGGTTTGCTTAAAAGTAAAGAATGATGTCATTTTCCATATAATTGTTGCATATTCACAAATACTAAAATCATAATAAAATTTTTACATGGTTTGAAAATATTTTGGGTATTTTGATTCATGACAAGTTTATCACATTGCTTTATAGTTTGGAAAAATAATATAGTTTAGGAAGGTAGATGAATTTTCAGAGACTCACGCCTTTCTCTCCTGGCACCATCAATTGGATTCTATCTTCATGACAGTGGAACATGGTGCTAATTAAATGACTGATATAAGTAGGGTATTTTTGTTTTTATTTTGCTCTGTTATTGTTGCTTTTAATTTAGAGATTGTAAAATGAATCTGTAAGCTATTATTTCCTATACTGAGTGTCCTTGTACAATGTAGTTTCTTAGTATCCAGTGCAGTGTAGCACTGTGCTTCGCTAAGTGCCAGCAGAGAGGTATTTAATAAATTTTAGTGCCCATTGGAATGTTTCCTGTAATATACTTAAGCTATAATAATGTTGCATTACAATTATATTTTAAGTTAATCATGATGGATTACAGAACTATCTAGGGACTATATAATTGTCTATCTCAATAAAATCAAGCCCAGGATCACCAGGATATGTGTGTGTGTGTACATACATGCACATACTCATATTACTGAATTAATAGTATAAATATTTTTGGTGATTTAATTGATGTGGCTCCAAAATACCTGCTTCACATCTTTACATATCTGCTAGCTCTATATTTTGAAATCCCATTAGTAAAAGTGTACTTTTTATTTTTATGTTTTTTCCTCATTGAGTTTATTGGTACATTTTAAGTATACAGTGCAGTTACATTCATCATTGGGATCTTGTGCCTTTACATAACAGGCCATGGTTCTCATTTTTTGGGCAGGGACAAAAGTGTACTTTTTATTTTTATGTTTTTTCCTCATTGAGTTTATTGGTACATTTTAAGTATACAGTGCAGTTACATTCATCATTGGGATCTTGTGCCTTTACATAACAGGCCATGGTTCTCATTTTTTGGGCAGGGACAAAAGTGTACTTTTTAGATGTTCCCTGGTTCATTCACTGGCTGTTAACTGGCCTAGTCATACTGCCATTTGACATTGTTATATATCTATGAATCTGGTCTTGAAAAAAGGTGATTACAATGAAATTCCTTGATATTCCTTCATAAGTGTTATATTTGAAATCTTGTTTTACTTTATTTGTGATGTTTATTTTTTACCTGAGTATTCTGAAATTACTTTCATTTTATGCTGAATAATTTTCTTTCTTTTCTTTTTAAAGCATTAAAAGACGTAGATAATATCAAGAACAGAAGGAGTGGGAGAGATTGGACTGGGAAGCTGACCAGGTCAGGACATTTGCATTATCATTTGCTGATCATTATTTTGCTGCTCCCTTTATAGTTCTCAAATCTTCTGTAACTTGTTTATTTCTTAAATGTTTTTCTTTGCGGGGGTATGTCTTCAGGTGTGCAGATTATGACTAATGATTTTATACCATAAACCCAGCCTCTGGGTGTACTCTTTTTAGGATTTGAAGATGCAAAGTAATTTAAACCAATTTTCAAAAGTAGAAGAAAATTTTTACCTAATAAGATAGTACACAATTACTCTGATTTCTGTTCCTTATGTATAGTGTTTTAAAATGAACTTCTTGATGATTTTCTGAGTATCAAATCCTTAAAATATGTAAAATGTTAATAATTGTGCAATTGTAGTGGGTGAGCCCTTGGGTCATAGCAGTCAAGTTTCCTTTCTTCTCTGCTGTATACTCTACGTTCATGTCTATCTCTAAAAGCTCTTGACACTTTTCAGAGTCACTCTGTTTGCTAGCAATAATTTTAACTGCTGAATGTTGGCCATCATGTATAAAATGAAGGTTAATTAAAAGAGACAATATTTATGCGATGGAAAGATCCAGGGTCTCCTAGGGGCAAGTCATTGTGGAAGATTTGCTGTTGCTTGCTCTCCTCTGTAAAATGGAGCTGTGCTGGCCTTCACCCTGACTGCTGCTGGGAGTGTGGCTGGTGGTTTTGTCTTCACTGCTGATCCTCTTGGCTGTCTTGAATGGAGATTACAACTGTTACTACCGGGGTTTAGGTATTCATAGAAGACTCAGGGGTTTTCTCTTGTTTGGGATACACTAGAATTCCTGCTTCTGCAACTTCAGTGGGGTTTGTCTTAGTACCTCTCTCTCTCCACATCTCTGATAGGGCAACTACCTGTTGAGTTTGCAGGTTCCCTTCCACAGAGAAACCAATGTCTCTGTTCTCCACTCTGCTCAAATCTCTTTGAGTAAAATGACTCACTCAGACAGGAATCATGGTTTGACTCTGCTGCATAGATCCTTCAGAGATTCTGTTACTTTCTAGCATGAGCATTACACATTAGAGATAGTTTTGTTGGCACATACCTTTTAGGGAACATTATGTCCAGTTAACAGAAAGATTACTCTGAATATATTTTGATGCAGTAAGTAAGCTCAAGAATTTCCTTAGTTTAATTAGGAAAAAAGTTCTAATTTGGATTGCACTGAGACCTTTAAGATTTCTTTCTAGTGTTATTATTCTGGAGAAGTTTGCTAATGTTAAAAAAGTAGTTATCCATTCATTAACTCCTTTATTCATGCATATAAGGAAAGTTCTATTGCTCTAGAGGTTTAATTCCAATGCAAGATAACATAAAGTGAAGAGTTTCATATGTGTGTGTGTGTGTGTGTGTGTGTGTATATAT